AGATTTTTCCAAATACCTAGAACCACAGCATTGACGGTCATGGTCCTGGGTATATTAGAGGAGTCGAGGTTTTTAATCCTGTTTGAAACGTATTGATAGAGTAGCAGGGTTGGACTCCTTAGGTTGGTTTTATGCATGGATGGATTTCAGATGCATAGCTGTTGATTCAACACCTTTTACAAGTACCAAATTCACAAAGGAAAAACCAACAAAAACAGAATCCAAAGCTCGTCATTCTCTGGCACACTGTTCTCTCCATTATGCCTTCTGAGTATACATCAAATATAATAAAAACAAGTGAATCAGCTTTAATGGTGTAGCTGTCACAGCTTCTTAGTCTGTCTTGGCGGGGACTTTTTCTGTCCCAGCATTGCTAATTGTCCTAACAATGCTTGGGAGAGAGGCTGTTCCCAGCAAGATGGATTCTCTTTTGTTTTAGGGTTTCCTTGAAAACCTTCAGCAATGCCTTGTACGCATTATGCAAACTTCGCTGGCCAAGGCATTTAAATACAATAAGATCTTATGATTCCATCACTGGGGGGCACATAATCTGGCTTTTGTCTGAATGATCCAGTAGGTACATTTATCCCAGTGATATAAATGTGATTTAGGAAAGGCATCTTTCATGAGCCAAGGTGAGAGGAAGGAGAATAAAAATTAAGAATAATTTAGCTCTCTGCTGTTCTTCATCTGTATGGACCTTAATTTCCGTGTAGAGTTGAATTGTAAATGTGGTGGTTGGTTCCATTTGCATTCCCTTTCATTGATTTCTGGGACCGCATGTGCCCTGTCTGTTACTACATCTGAAACATTTTGCAGCTAACAAAGGGTCCACAGACTCTTATGGCCCATCCGGGTCCCAGGTCCACTATAGTTTCTGGATGAAAGTCATTGAATGCACTGTCTACCAATTAAAATAAGTTGTCTTCTACCACCTCTACATGCATCATTTAAAAAGCCAGGGAGAACCTCCTGAAGTGATGCCTCTTGTAGATTGTATACTTCAAAAAGGTCCCACTAGAGCCTGTAGTGGAAGACTCCAGAATCACATTTATAAATGCTCATAAATGATGCAAGTCTGATTGTTAATGCATGGATGAGGGGCAGAGTAGGAAAGAACTAGAGATCCTGAGCGTGATTTCTTAGAAGCTGATTGATATAGACATGGCCCCACCAGCAACCACTTACCATCGAAGAGATAAATGGCAAAGATTCATTTCCTGTGTGGTATCTGCTTTTAGCTCAAATGTCACTTCCAGGAAGGCTTCCCTGCCCAGAGGATCTGATTAATGACCCCATCCTATCTGCTGTCCCAACATGGTGTACTGTGGTTTAATTACTTACCAATGTCTTCCACTAGTCTGTGAACACTCCATGGTGAGGCACCAGCTGCCTCTGTAATCACAGGCCTCAGAAAAAGTGGATGGAATAATGAAAATGTTGGAAAGGAGAGCTATCACGTGGCAGCTTTGTTGGGGACAGACTATAGAATGGTGAGATTATAGGCAGAACTTCTTGGCAATAATTCCACTGACAGTGTGAAATAAATGTCAGGAGAAAGCAAACCCAGAAACTGCAGAGGTGGAGAAGAAACAAACAAACAAAAAAAGGTGATAGAAGGGAAATCATCATGGAAAAGATAAAACAAGGAGAAAGAAATCTATAGGACTCCATGGGGTTTGGATCGACAGTCTTTGAGTGTTAATTAAACAGATGTAGTTGGAAAAATTCAATATTGTGTACTCTGCAAAAGTAAGATGAATCACCAATTCACACCCACACCTGGGAAGCGTGTATTCCTGAGTATTCTGACTGGTTAGGACACTAGTTGAATTCTACTCTTCCCTGAGCAACAGGGTGAATAGTCTGACACAAGTTTAACCATATGGTCCTTCTGCTGCCTGTTGAAGTAATGACAAAGTATCAAATAGATCCCCAAAGCAAGGCAGTTGTTTTGTTTTTGTTTGCTTTTTGTCCTGGCTGGGAGCTTTGCCACTAACCAGAGCTTAGGAGGAATTTCTGCTCTCTTTCTGAATAAGTCAGCCAGGCTGTAACTGAAGCTTATCTGTCCTCTTTCCTTTCCTTTCTCCTCTTGACATATGTCTCTGACATATGGTTTCAAATCTTCACAAAGAGAGAAAAAAGATGGAGAAGAGGGAGAGAAATACATCTTTTTACTATTCATCCACACAACAAGATTTTGCCCGTTGCCAAAGAAGGAAGAAAGGCAATGGAGTATTATACAGGCTCTGGAATCAAACAGACCTGGATTTGAATTCTGACTTGGCCATTTACTACTTGCCTAAATTACTATTTGCATCTTCCAAATTACCTAATTTCTCAGGGCCTCAAGTTTCTTCTTCTATAAGGATTATGATAGTTACTTGTGCTGTTTGGTCTTTTGGTCAATCCTGGGGAAGTAGCTTGGGAACTTTCTCTCAAAAGGCAATGCTTGGGGCTGGGGCTGGGGCTCAGTGGCAGAGAGCTTGCCTCACACACATGAGGCAGTAGGTTCGATCACCTCATAAAATAAATAAAGATATTGTGTCCAAAAAAAAAAAGAGTTTTAAAAAAAGGCAATGCTCTCTTCATCTGCAAGGAGTAGTTTGCTTGTCTGTCATGAAGAGGATGTTCAGAAAACAGCATTTCAAAGATTGAAAAATAATAGACAACATTATTCAGAAGTTTTTATTCCCCAACAAAATTCCTTTACTTTAGTCTCAAGATAACAGTAATTAATAATCAGTTAGGACATGCGTGAGTTTCTTGGCTCTCATGCTCAGGTTTCTCTCCATGACAGTTAAACTATTTTAGAAGTCCGAGGAGACACATGACACCCACTTCCCCTGGTCTCTCACTGATTTAGGGGGAGCACTGCATAGCAAGGCCTAGGATAGTCTACTCCTAGATGTTTTAAGCATGATATATCCAACAATGTGTCAGGTGTATCCTGGAATGATTTGTCTTTATTGTTTACACCCGACATGAAATCTGACACCAACTTGCTACGTGGCAATGTGTGTGCCATAGAAAATAAGAAACCAGGCTCTACTTCCCTAAGTAGAGAGCAAAGTTGTCATTGGGTATTATGACTGTTATGCACAAGTCATGTCCACAGTGCTGGAGAGTGGACAAAACCTGTCTGCTCCTCCTCAGTCAGTGGGGAACCATGGGAAGAGGGGTGTCATGTGTTGCCTTGCACTTTTAAAACAGTTTAACAGTCATGGAGAGAAACCTAAACATGGGAGAATCAAGAATCCTGAACATGTCAAAGCTGATTATTAATTACTGTTGAGACAAAAATAAAAGAATTATGTTGGAAAATATAAACTCATTCTGATTGATGTTTTCTCTTAGTTTTCAATTTTTGAATTACTGTTTTCTGAAAAGAATCTATTACCTTGGGAGATTGGCACGGACAAGCCTGTCTCCTTGATCTTTTGCCCCTCTACTCCCTGCAAATTATCTTGCAGGGTTGTTGTAAGCTTTATTGTAGCACCAAAGACAACACATCCTTTGTGTTTGAACCGAGATCTATCGCTTACCGGCCTGTGACCTTGGGTAAACTTTTTAAACTTCTCTGTGCTCCAGTTTCCTCATGGGAAAAATGGGAGCTAAAATATGAAAGGATGCAATTAAAGATGTAACATGGTGCTTGGCATATAGTAAGTATCCAAAAGATGGTGTGCCCACGGGTAGTTACTATTAAGTCACGATGCTCACAGACACTACAAAAAAGGAGGGTCAGCCCACCCAGGTTTTTAATGGATGATTTCCTATTTGGTTCTAAAATTAACTTCAAACTTCATGAAACGGTGATAGATTAGGGCTCAGGAGAAAGGGGCAAAACTGCGTGGCCTAACGGGAAAACTAGGGGCATGAGCATAGGAATGATATGCATTTAAATCCTAGTCCTGTTTCCTCGTCCTAGGGGTTTAAGTCAGTCTTTCCAGTCCCGTCTTCCTCATCGGTAAGTTGGGGACAACGATGTCCCCCGCTGGGGCTGTCAGTGAGATGCCCGGAACCCCAGGGCCTGGAAGCTGTCCCTGGATTAGGGCCGGGACTTGTCCCTGGGAATGCGGACCAGGGATGCGACGGGCGCTGGGGGAAGGGGGTGGAACTCGCGGGCAGCCCGGGGCTGTCGGGTCGCGCGCCGAGGCGGAGGCCGAGCGCTGCCTCGGCCTTTGTTGGCGGCGGAAGCTGCCTCCGCACACGCCGCGGAGAAACCAAAGCCAACTGTGGCGGCGGGGAGTGCGCCGAGCACCGGGAGTCCGGGCGCGGGGAGCGAGGCGCCGCTCGGACCGTGCCGTGACGCCGAGTGCCCGGGGAAAGAGCTCACGAGAGTTATATAGGCCGAGCGACGGCGCCCCTAAGTGACAGCCCGGCGGGCCACTGGCGCGGCGGCGGGCGGCCAATGGCTGACGGGGTCGCGGGCTGGGCGGGGCGGGGCGGAGCCGCGGCGGGAGGGCGGGGCGCGGCGGCGGCGGCAGCGGCCACAGCAGCTCTGCCTGCGGCCGCGGCGGGAGCGCCGGCGCCAGCGGCAGGTGAGCGGCTCTGGGCTGCGGAGGCGCGCGGCGGCCTGGCGGCGGGAGCGCAGGGCGGCTGCGCGGAGGGAGCGGGTTGAGGGGCGGCGCCGGCGGCCGGGCTCTGCGGCGCCTGGATTGCGGGAGATCCACCTGCTGGTAACGGAGCCGCGGGCGCCGCGGCCCGGCCGGGAGCTGGTGCGCCGGGAGGTGCTCTCGCCTCTGGCGCGCGGGGCTGGCCGGGGGCGCTGCCTGGGCCTCGGGGGCGCGGCGCGGGCCGGGACGCCTTCCTCGCATCGCCCTGCATCGCGCGGTGCCGCGCGCTCTCCCGGCGGCCCGCCCGGCGCCCCGTGCGTTCCCGGCGCTTGCCGGGCTCCGCGACTTTGGGGGAAAGTAGAGCAAAGTGTGTGGGCTTCCCGAGGGTGGGGAGCGGGAGGGAGGGGGGCCGCGGGGCCGGGGTCCGCTGCCCGCCGGACTGGGAGCCGCCCCGCGAGGCTCCGGGGCAGGGACTGCTCCCGCTGAGGGGACCGGGCGTGCCGCCGCGGTGGCGAATTTGCCGTGAAGTGAGGACCTGGTGGTCCGGGGTGAGAGAGCACCTCCCCCCAGTACCCCAGGCCTCAGCTCCCCGTCCGGACGGGGCCGAGCGGGACCCCGAGGCTGGGGCCAGGTGACATCTGGAAGGCGAGCTCTGGTGGCTGGCCCCAGTGCCGCTCGCAGGACCCTGCTTCCCGGAGCCCTCGCGGTGCTCGCCTTCCGCACCGAGAGCCGCGGGCAGGGACCCTGTGCGTCCCCGAGGGTGCTGTGCCTTTTGCTGTCGGATGAGATCTTGATAAAAGGACCGCACAGCCCTTCTTTGGAAGAGAGAAGTCTAAATTTAGAATCAGATAATAGGTGTGGTTGATTTCTTTTGCTGAATGTTTTTTAAAAAAAAAAATAGGGTGATTAACAGGTTAGTGTGAGATAGGTTTCTTTAACCCGCAAGAGTAAATGTGAAAACGCACTGGACGACGAAATTATGTAAGCTGTATTAAAGAAAAAGATCGATCCCTTTATAAAGGGAAAACAACACGATTTTAACATAATTGTGGTGGTAAAGTTATCAAAGCTTACGTCATGGTTTTCATTGATTGTGGATATCCGGATTGTGCCTTCTGTTCTTCAGGCACCTCTGTCTGTGGGATGCTGATTAAGGAATATGCCAAACGTTCAGCAAAGTGTTCTCCCAGCCATGGAGCATGCTAAATATTTCAGTGAACACTTTAAAAGGTTTTGAATCCAGCAGTACAAGACTAACAACGTAAGATTGTTAAGTCTGTTAACCAAACAGATTTTTCATCATGAGGTCAGGAGTTGAAAGTTCCATTCATCTTTGGGAGGCTAGAGAAATGACAAGTAATTTTAGCCACTACCTTTGTGTGTGTGTGTGTGTGTGTGTGATTTAAAGATTCAAATGTGTTAAGTGAGAGAGTATTCAGGTGTTAGATTAAAATGTTTGCAGATGTGGACACTGATAAAAATGTGGGTCACCTGTGTCTGACAAGCCAGCCTGATACTGCCTGTGGTGATTTAAGAGCTTGTAGCTCATTAGTTTTGCTCTCATCTGGAGATTTCATTCACTTGTGCTGCGCAGTTAAACTTCATTAGTTTAGAAATCCTAATTAAAAATGTATGACTACATTCTTGCTGAGTGAAAGGCTCTCATATTTTTCTTGGGAAATTTCAGGTCTTATTAGTAAAATTCATTTTAAGTATCTTCTTCAAACCTGAGTTTGCTAAGCAATTTCTTGAATCCAGTATTTAATTTTCCTTATGTTTTTCATGTATTATGGATAGCATAGTTATAGTCGATTTTAATTTTAGAGTTTGCCTTCACACATTTGTACTGAATTTTATGCAGATTTTTCCCTACTTAATAAAACGGTATTTTAAAATATCCTTATTCGATGATTCTGTTTCTCTGCTTCTCCACTAGTGAGTGTTTACTCTAATGACCTGTATATTTTTTAGATCTCTTACTAGAACAAAATCCTTTCTAAAGTAAAATATGGCTAAGTGCATAGCAACAGAAAGTTGCAAGCATTTTTGTGTAATGTCATACCAGGATGAGAATTCCAAGTTATATAATTCACTCCATTATCACCTCTATTTTTATAATCAGAACTCATTGTTGGGTGCTTATTGATTTCAGACAATTAGATGCTCTATGCAATTTTAAATTATAGGATATTTTTTTTTGCCACAAAGATTTTGATTCTTAGCTGTTCAGTATTAAGTTATCTTGACTATAGAAAGGTCAACACATTTGGTTTAGCAGTGATAACTTTATGTGATAATGTCTTTGTGCTCAGGTAGTAAGAGGAACCAATGGAGTGGGGTTTAGTATTTTTAGAATGATGTATGGAAATAAGAGCTGCTGTCCAAAGCCGGGAAACAGGCATGCTTTGTTGGGAGTTCTGGGGTGGGGAACTAGCCAAAAGCTTCAGGAAGTGAGAAATTTATTAAAAGTTGTATGTTTAGACTTTGAATATTACTGTGAATTTTGCAACTTTTACCACAATGAATCCATATTTGATCTAGTATATAAAACATTTTTGAGATTCACACTTACAGTTGGGTAAAATTAACATTTTGGGAAGATCGTCCAGTTTAACCTGAGACTTCCAGTATCCCTGGCTCTTTATACTGCTGTGCTACAGGTGGCTGAATTTGAGGGGCAAAGTGTTTGAACTTTGAGATCATACAAATCTAGCTTTTCTCTTTATGTTGATTTCTTTGTGTGTAAAATAGTGTTAATGATGCCCATCTTGTAGGATTTTGTAAAGGTTTAGACCACATAATTGACCCAGCACATAGGAGACATTCAGTGAGTTGTGGTTCTTTTTGTCATTATTAGGTGTACCTGTGACCTTTCTTTACTAGTGGAGATTTCTAGTGGTATTCAGTGATGAGAAGTAGCTGAGGTGGTAGTTCCTGAATTGCCTGCCATGATCTTCCACTAAGAGAATTGCCCCTTGGGTTTGTTAGGCATTTTGGGGGTGCATTAACTCACTCCACTAGAGTATCATTTAGTATATTGCTAAGAGCATCTTTGTGGTCCCCTTGAGGCAACCAGGAGTCGATGCACATCTCAGATTGCCTGACACACCCCTGGGGAATGGGACCGTTTATATGTACAGAAGACTGAAGGAGTGGCTGTTTGCTTCTATATTTTAATATAGTTAACATTTATTGGGAGCCTATTATGTGCTGGGAACTATGCTTAAGTACTTGTAAGGACCTCATTTCTTTTCATTTTCTCAGCAGTTTTGTTAGATTGGTGGTGATCTCCCAAATTTCCTGAGTTAAAACAATGTGAAGTGATAGGCCCTGGCTGATAGGGTAGGGGCTTGATTGCTGCGTTTTCCAAATGCTAAGTATTCTGAATTTACCACCTAGGAATTGGATTAGTCACTGGGAAGACTGAGGTTATTTTGCGATGATGATGAACAGTGATAATAACTGTAGGCTTTTTACTATTTATGACAATATGTGAAAGACAAGTGCTTTTCTCATTTTATAGGTGAACCTTGGAGAAAGTAATGTTAGACCTGGATCTAGGACCCAGGTCTTTTGACTCTTCTATATTGTTTGTCAGTTTTCACAAATATACGTGTGTGTGTGTTTCTAAATATTTCTTGTTACTGTGCCATAGGAAAACTGGGGAGAGTCAAGATTGTTACTCAGGAGCCATTGTATGATCACTAGAGTCTCCTAAGCCCTGTAACTTCTTCATGTAAATAAGTAACCGGAAGTTTCTTTTCACAGACATAACCAAACCAGTGAAGAAGGAATATCATTTGAAACTTTTTCCTTGGAGGGGAAAGACCATAATTCTGGTATATGAAATGTGTAGTTGGGAGGTAGGACAGCTTAGCCCTGCCAAAAATCCATTCAGAGTTCGGTAATCAGTGAAGAAACCTGTGCTCTGCATTATTGAACAAGTTTTCTTTCTCTTCCCCCACTGATAGGGAGAAAACAGCCCAAGACAGGAGCACATGAAGACCACGAAGAAAATTCTGAGTAGCAATTGTGAATGGTATTCTTGCTAGACACCTTCTGCCTGAGCATCTGAAATGAACCTCTTGCATTGATTGTTTTGATTGGCCTGGAGCCAGGAGTACTGGATTCAGTTGACTTCAGGCTAAAAAGAAAACAGTCTTGGTTGTCATCACAAACATACGAACCAGTGTGATGGTGAAATGAGATGAGGCTCCGAAATGGAACTGTAGCCACTGCTTTAGCATTTATCACGTCGTTCCTCACTTTATCTTGGTATACTACATGGCAAAATGGGAAAGGTAGGGAAAATGTCTGCGGATATGTGTGTGAAATGTGGGGGCTTTTTGCTTTGTAAACGGTGCGCTGATGCTCAAGTTAAATATCCTAGCAACCTGCATTTGCTTGTTCTCTGCTGGCAGTTTCTTTTGACACAGAAATGCAATGTATTCTTGGACAGAGGAGACAGAATTTCTAATTCCAAAGGGGTTTGTTTTGTTTTCAGTGTCTTATAATTGCACTTGGAGAAACAGATACTGATCAGTGGTTTACATTACACATGACAGCCAAGTTGAATAACAAAGACTTTTGTTTGGGTATTTTGTTTTATTTTTTAGCTAATCATCATAAATGTATAATAAGCTTTCTTGTACTGGCTGTTGTGTAGAACACTTAAAAGGACACAATCAGTGCCTTCGTGAAATTTACATGCCAATTATGCTAATGATTTGGTGCTGTGTAGTTAATGATTTAAACCACAGGCCTGGACGGATTGCTGCTTAGGCAAAAGCGTTTAAGAAGCGGGTGAGGAGACATGCTGATTGGAATATTAAAAGTTTTTTATTTAGACTGTTGAACTGTGTTTTAAAGGAAAGTTGTCTGTTCACTGCTAGGAATTGTTATATTCAGGAATAGTGAATTTCTACCTTTTCTTTTTTGAAGAGAGAATATTTGGAGTAAATTCCTTTCATTGGCTCCTTTCCTCATATTAATCTAAGGCTGTTGATGGCAAGAAAGATGGAGGTGTTGGGATTTATTTTATTAGTCAAGTTATAATATCATCATCACCTGGGCTATTTGAAGATGCTATTGCTGACATCATTGTATTGTCTCATGAAGAAATTGAAAAGATTGTTTCTTGACTCAGTTTTTTTTTGGTGTATGTTTGTTTCTGTACATAGATCTCTGTGTGTGCATATATACTTCTGTGGATCTATGTATAAGCAAGTATAGTATTGTTTTCCCAGTGTTTGTCTTTCTCTTATTTGGGGGCATGGACTCTTAGGGGGAAAACAAGAGAAATATTGCTGAAGGAAAGCTCTTTGTGTACAAATACAGACTTTTTAGATTTTAGTTTTTAATTGTACCAAATGAGAAGTATTAATCAGGAAGAATCTTGATTAATCAGATTATTAATCCTTGACACAAACAAAAGAAGTGACTTGCTGTTAAGGGTCTACCTCTGAATAAGAGAATTGACTGTAACAGTAGTAGGTGGGTTTTTTCTTATCAGGAAACTTATCAGTTCAGAGATAGTAATAGAGAAGCTCAACCCTTCTCCCTGTGTCTCATGTAAGACCTCTAAAGTTTTGGAATCTCCAGGCCATTTGTCTTGTTTCTTAGGTAAAGGCATTAGAAGCATTATTATTAGTTTCTTATTAAGCTGTCTGTAGCATCAAAATTAATTCAAAGAATGTAAAGGATCTGTCTCTGTAGTATTAGACACACAGTCTGTTTTCTTTGATCATGGCTCTTTGAACAGCTCTGCATCATCTGTGCCTACTCTTCTGCTGTTTTTCTGCTCAGTGTTTTGTCCGGACTTTGAGGGATCAGCACAGGCCTCCTGTTATGGTTGGGTGAAATCCCCTGTGTTGATTTGCTGTCATTTATGTAACCACTCTTCACTGTTGAGCCCTTGGATTCTTTCTAGATAGTTCAGGCAGTCAGACAGCTTGGATTTTCCAGGGCAGGCCTGCTTTTAGACTAAGAGTTGTTCTTTTACCTGTACCTCGCCTGTGCCTAGCACTGTATTATATGCTGTGAACATGAAAAGAAAAAAAAGAAATGACATGTCTTTGAACAGGGACTGGCCCGAAAGAGGCATGAAAACAAGTGTACCATCAGACAGAATTAGATAGAGGCAGTCACAGTGCCTGTCCTGTTCTAAACATTTGTATCTCATTTAATCCTCATAACAACCCTGTAAATATTTTCATGTCTTTTTTGTAGTTGGGAAAACCAAGGCATAGTGGTTGAGGTACTTAACCAGAGTCATACATTAAGTGGTGGAGAAGTTTGAATTCAGGTAGATGATTTCAGAGCTTAGGCTCTGAGGTATTGGTCTACCACTTAGAAGAGCACAGAGGCTACTAATTCTTCAGGTGTCTCACAGAGGAGGTAGAGTGTAAATGATGAATGTGAAGGGCATGCCAGGCAGAGGAGGGGGCAGTGGACATACCAGATGCAGGCAGCTGCAGGTACATATATATTAGTAAATATATTTAGTAAATATTTGTGCATACAACTACAGGTTCTGAAGGGGGGGGTAGACCAGTTATGCTTTGGAGTCATGAGACACTATACCTGGCACATGGGATTCCTAGGCTTTCTTGAATTCAGTTGGTAATCACAGTACAGTTACTGTCCATCTTAATTTGCCACTTGGAAGAATAAGAACTGACCCATGAGATTGGCAGAGGTTGATGAGGATGTCAGGAATCCTGCTAAGGAAGCTGGGCAGGGTACCAGTTTTACCAGGTTACATAGGATTTCTACTTAAAAATAAGGCAGAATTCTAATTTTGTGGGATGGCTAGTTTGGGAGGGTTATAGGTAGGCGTTGTGAGGGTAGGACAAGAATAATTACATGTCTCACTTGCTGGTGGTGGTAGGGATCCTAATGTACCTAATGTGCTTTGGTTGACCACAATCGAGAAACCAGGCAAAACCAATTAAGTAGTCATAGATCCCTGGACCAGGACTGGTATTATATCTGGTATATCTGACCAGTGCTTGGTGGTTAATGCACGTTTAGTAAATATTTGGTAAATTATTCATTCAGCAAAAATGTATTTAAGAAAAATCTCAACAGCTTTATTAAGACATAATTTACATATATACATTACACTCATTTAAAGTGCAAAGTTCAGTGTTTTTTGGTATGCTAACAGATGTCTACATCCATGACCACAGTCAATTTTAGAGCATTTTCATCACCTCAAAAAAGAAATCCTGTCCCCTGTATCTGTCACTGCCCTGGTTCTCATTATCTTGTCTGCCTACCCTAGGCAACCACTAATCCTCCCATCTCTGTAGATTTCCCTCTTCTGGACTTTGGTATAAATGAAATTGTATAGTGTGACTGGCTTCTTTCATGTGGCATAATGTTTTCAAGATTCACCCATCTTATGGCATGTATCAGCATCTCATTTCTTATGGATGAGCAGTGTTACCTTATATGGATACACACGGGTCTGTATGCCCAAATGTGTCTGTATATATACTATCTATATAGCTTTTTATCACCAAGACCCAATAACACAAGAAAATAAACTTGGACGAGGGAAAGATTTACTTTGGCTCATAGTTTCAGAGGTTCAGTCTATGGTCACTTGGGCCTGTGGAGGTGTTACTATACATAATGGCAGGGGAGTGTGTGGCAGAGGTGGACTGTTAACATTATGGTGGCCAGGAAGCAAAGGTTGTTGGGGTGGGGGAGTGTCCCAAAAGTTCATTTAAGGGCTATGGTCTAATTGCCTTCATTAGACCCTACCTACTAAAGATTCTACCACCTCCCAGTTTGCTTTTTCTCCATCTTTATCTCTTTAGACCTTCAATATGTTGGATGATTTCCACCCATATTGGTGAGAGAGATCATCTTTTCTCAGCTTACCAATTCAAATATTAATCTCTTCTAGAAACACCCTCATAGACATATCCAGAAATGTCTTGCCAGCTATCTGGGCATCCCTTAGCCCAGTCAAGTTGACACATAAAATTGACCATCACATGGTCCTTTAGTGAAATTTTTTTTTTAACTTCTGTTATTGTATTTTGCAACTATAGAATTTCTATTTGGTTCTTTATTAAAATTTGTCTCTTTATTGGTATTCTGTATTCAATCCAATGTTGCCATGCCTTCCTTAACTTCTTTTTTATTTTTTTAGTTGTAGTTGGACACAATACCTTTATTCCATTCGTTTATTTTTTTGTGGTGCTGAGGATCGAACCCAGGGCCCCGTGCATGCTAGGCAAGCGCTCTACCGCTGAGCCACAATCCCAGCCCTTCCTTAACTTCTTTAAGCTTTCCTTGAGTTCTGGAACATACTCTGAAGTCTGCCATCTAGTTGTACTCATAGGTGGTTTCTGTTGCCTCCTTTTGTCTGATGAATGAGTTATACTTTGCTGTTTCTTTGCACATCCTGTTTTATTGGCTAATGAATATTTTAGAAAAATACATTTTAGCAACTCTGGATACTGGAATTCTTCTACCCTTGGGCTTTGTTATTTGCTGACTTGTTTAGTGACTGTTGCATTATTTCATAGAAGTCTGCACCCTCCAGGGGGCATTCACAATGCTGTACAACCACTACCTTTGTCTAGTTCCTGCATGTTTTAGGCAATTGATTACTTTATGATGCTATAATGTGCTCCAGGTTTGTGTGGTAATTTCTCTACTCCAGCCTGGATGCAATCATTTCTCCAAGCAGCCTCTACTCCCTTTGTCCCATCCTACTGTGCTATCACCACCTCCAGTCCCTCTCCGTGGACAACAAGGAAATGTATGTATGTATACACAAGTCTATCTCTGTCCCTGTCCATCTGTATATTTTTTTTAAAAAAAGTCTAAGCACGTGTTCTTAGCAGTTGCTCAGTTTTTAAGGTAATACTATACTGTTTGCACTAGCCTCGTCTTTTCCCTCTCACGCCAGTCTCTTGACATCACAAAACACCATCTTCCTATCCTGATATCATTACTAATGCCCAATACATACATAAAGTGGTTTCAGAATTGCTAACCATAACCCAAGTGAAAAGTAAATTTACCAGGGTACTGTTTTTGTACATAGTTATTTTTATATTTTGTCTTGTAAAACATAGTCGACTGCTGTTTTCTAAAGTTACTTGGCCTACTTTTTATCTTAGTCACTTCCTCTTCTCTGGCTTATGTTATTCATTTATAATGCATGCACTTAGGCCCATTTATTACTCTTTGTATTATTTTGGGTTTCCCTAATACCTTGTTTTATTGAATTTATTTACATTTTGAATATGTAAAACATCATCTTCACTGAGTCAGAACT